ATAAGGATGAGATGCGAAGTGGTCATAGTGCTGGATGCTTATGCTCGCTGGCCGCTCATCGTTCCTATGCTGGATGGTTGGCTGATGAGCTGAAGCATGGATCCTCCGCTTGCAATGGGAGAGGGTGGCCGGCAAGGTAAAGTAAGCCTACAGGCAGCTTTGGCAAGACAGTCCACCAAATCATTTGCAGTTACTCCAACATGTGTAGGAATCCATACGAAATTTATTGAAAGCGCATATTCAACGGCTGTAACTAGATGGCTCAGTATACGACTGACAAGCCTGCAGGCTTCAGGCTTGGGAGACGAGAGGGCATGAAGGGCTGACTGTGAGTCACAAATAACCAGACCTCTGTTTCTGGTACATAGAAGTAGGCTAACAACATCCAGAAACCCATGCACAAGCTGCACTTCCATCAGTTTGTAAAGAACCATCTACATAGATGGTGTGGGAGGCAGGAATGGATGATGTTATTTTGGCAATGGTCTTGAGGTCTAGTTGTTTCTGTTGGCAGGATGGGTCCCTCCTACAAGTGGGTGTGTAAGAAACAACTACTGGAGGAATCTGCCATGGAGGAGGACCATGGTCAACTTTCTCTTGGGGAACATTGATAATAAGTGCAAAGCTACCTGGTCGGAGTTGCGGGCAACGAAAATTGGGGCCAAGTGACATTCCAATGATGCCTGCATAATGTAGAGCAAGATTGGGGGAGTGGAGACAGTTAACAGTAAAGCATGTTACATTGGCATTGGCATGTTCTACTAAAGGAGGGAGATGAAATTTTTGCTGCATATTAACCATCATAGTAGAGATTGGGCATCCTAGAACAGATAGATAGAGTTACATAAATGCTACATTTGGTACTCCTATTTGTTGACTAACTCTTGTCAAAAGGAAACTGCAGTACTATTCACTATAAGGAAACTATTACATAATTTGCGAATTCTATCATCTTGCCCGTTTTTTTTTTTATTGCAAAAATTTATGCAGCTTTTTAAATAACATTTCTTGTGCTCAAGCATCACATATCATGCACACTGTGTAAAATAATTAGTGACCTAGCTAAAAAACTAAAGCAAGGAGGACTGGATAACGAATTTCGTAATCGTACCGACGACTCTTCCCCTTAAAGAGGACATAGGATGATCTACTGCTTAGGTATCCTTATATCCATCACAATAGGTTTCCACTAATACCAAAGTCCACAAGTTGGTCGAGGATCATACCTGGATTTGCATGTCAAAGGCACTTGTCAGGTCCATGAATGCCACAAGACTTGTAGAGGAGAGGCAGGTGTGTGCAGCATTGTGGCAAGAATCCATATAATCTGGATGAGAGTTTATCCTGAAGGCAATAGATAAGGCGATTCAGGAGTATATGTTCCAGCACTTTACAGAAGTGTGATGTAAGTGATATTGGTCTAAACTTGTCAGTGCCAGGCTTAGGAACAAGTACAATTAGGCTCTTTGTCCAGTCTTGTGGCACATATCCATGTCTGAGGCAGAGGTTGTAAAGTTGTAAAAGGGGATCACTAGGGACTTTCAGGAGGAGGCAGAAGACAGAGTATGTGATCCCATCATCACCTGGAGCTGTTGCCTTACCACTAGCAGGAGCATGGAGAAGTTCATCCTTTGTTACTGGAATGTCCTCTTCCTCCTCATCTTTCTTTTAGCAGGGCTGCTTACAGGTATAGAGCACAGCGAGTTTTCTGAGAGAAGAGCACCTCTTGTACATATGAAGGAAGGCTTTGAACACTGGCTTGCTGCGACCAGGCCTTAACGAGATGTTGTGCATACAGAACTGGACTGTGATGGAGTGCACTTGGGGTCTTTTTCCTTAAAGCCTTCTTGATAAGTCATCACATGGACCCCACACTTGTCTGATGATTGATGGTATTCATGAAATCATGCCAGGCATCACGATGAACACATTGTTGTAAGGCAACAAGGGCACTGCTGGACGTCTGGTATTGCTTCAAGTTGTCTGGAGTTGGATCCCTCTGATAGACAAGGCTGTCTCTTTGCTGCCTTGATGTATCTATCAAGTGTCCACTCATAAGCTCCAAACTGGCGCTTAATGTCTGGTCTGCGAACATGGTGGTTATAAAATTCACGTGTTAAAGATACAAGAGATGAGTATAACTACTCAGGAGAACTGAGATCAAGCTTGAAGAAAAGACCAGACATGTAGGAAATATAGTTAAGGGGACCGTCCCGGAAAATGGCCACCTTTCCCTACTCTTTACATCATAAAAAAATATTGGTTAGAGATAACTGATTGATTCTTTTTGCATGATGTAGAGTAAAGAATTGCACTCCGTTATATATATAAATTTTAACTTTGCTCCTCCATGGGGGGGGCACCCCCAAAAAAGTAAAAAAAAAAAATCATTTTTTTTTGGTGTCTTCGGTACATCCCAACTATCACAGTTCTTTACTGAATATTCCCCCAAAAATACTTGTGTTAGATCAACCCTAGCCTATAGCCATGTAAAAGGCTGAATTTTGAATTTCCTTTTTTTTTTTGGCGGGGGACAGCTTGACATAGAGAACTATTTTTTTTTTTTTTTTTTTTTTTTTAGCATTAAAATATTATTTTTTGATTAAGGCAAAAATTCAAAAATCGGCCTTTTACATGGCCTTGGGATGCCGAGGCTCTAGTGAAAGCAACAAACTGCATTTGAATCATATGAAAATTACGTGAGTTGGGATTATCGAATATTCATAAAAAAATAATGGAGCTACAGCGTTTTGTATTTGGCCCCTTGCCAAAGTTCGTTATCTCTGTTATTTTTCTCTGAATCTAATGATATTATATATCAAGAAAATGCTTATTTAGTGTACTTTGCAATGCAATGATTACCAAGTCATTAGGAATTTTCATTTTCAATAGGGACGCTATTCTGTAAAAGTATGTTTTTTTGTTTTTTTTTTCGTTGTTCATAAAAGTTGATATTTTCATGTGAAAAGCTTAATAAATACATTTTACCATAAAGACAACTAATCTAAACCAGATAAAACCCTTTTTTTAACTTTTTTTAATTTTAATTCTATTTTATTATTATTATTTTTTTTTTAAGAAATGGGGAACTGTGGATGGCAACATTAGTACAAAATCATTCTTATTATAAAGTCCTGGCATGAAGACAACATGGTGGTTCAATTTTGAGAATTTTAAAAGCATATGAATTTAGTACATTGAATTCGAGAACTTACGAAAGTCGTTGAATATTTCCCATCCCTCACACAGGGGGGGGGAGGGAACGTGAACGCACGCACATAAAGTTAAAAAGATTAATCATCATCATTTAGTAGGCCTACACTGACTTTCATATCTAAATAAAAAAACATATTAGTTATCCCTCTCATACAATTTTCTTCGATAATTGTCAATATTAACAGATTGCAAAGGAGAACAAGTGTATAGTTTACAATTAGCCATTTGCACCCATTATCTTTACTAAGAAGTGCATAAAATGAACGCCAGAAGAAGAGTGCGCATACAACCGAGCTCAAAATTCCATATAGTTTTTATTTCAGAGCAGGTATTACTGAGTACTATCATCTTCAACATGAAATAATCTGTATCTCGCTTATACATCCGAAATTTAAAAATCTGACATTTAGGTAACATTCGTATTGAATTGGTCTTTACAACGGTATCTACCAATTTCAAATCAATTCAAATTGCCCCCTGCTGTGATGTACCGACCGTTGAGCAAAATGTAACGGAAATATTTCAATCCTTTCTTATAAGGCTATTCTTAAACATTAGTGCTTCGTATGTGATATACGTATATATTACCTCGTAAACTAAAACATATTACCAGGGAGTCTCGATCGAAGCATATTTCATGTGTAAAAGTACACAAAACGCATTTTTTTTTAATTTCACAAAATATTTCGTCATAAATCACGGTGATATAACTTTTTCCTGATATTGGTATAAAAGTGTTCCTTGAACATTCACGAACTCATATCTACGCGCAATGTCAAAATTAAATGCCTTATGCACAATTGCCGCAAGCAAAAGTTCACATAGGTGTACCTGGGCGCTCATTAGCGACGTACCTCTGCGGGTGCTGAGGGACTCGTGCGTCGGCTGCAAGACAACGAGCCATAGCAGGCGCTTAATACTCGTTTGGTAGTTTCCTCATCCATGTACCTATACTATACGCTAACTAACTCAATTTCCCACCCCTCCATCAGGGACGGTCCCCCTAAGGCAGTAATTTGGAGGGATACTGATACAGATGCACTGATAGGCAGATGAATGTACTCTAGGGATCAAGTACTGAAGGCTGAGGGTAAGGTGATCAGAGAACAGGTAGGTACAGATGAGCACTTGACCTGAGATTCTGCAAGTCTGTTGGTAAGTATGTGGTCAAGGGTGCCTCCTTGAGAATGCGTGGCACCTCCTGTATCCCAGCGAGTTAGGTGGTTGTGCTGTATGAACTTCATAACTTGTGTGCCACTGTAGTTGACAGTATTAAAACATTCACCTAAAGCAGAGTGCTGAGCATTAAAATCACCCATATATATTCTGCTATGGTCCATAGGAGAAGGCAGAGCATCAATATTCATCCTTCCTGGGGCAGAATAGACATTGCCCCTACAGCCAGCTTAACCTTGAGGAGTTGAAAAGCAAGTAGCAAGTGAATCTCACTTGTCAGTAAGAGATGTAACAGAAGTGATAATTTGTTGGGCTTCAATGAGAGACTTGAGTGTTATGTCATAAGTTGCCAGTTTGGTGGAAAGATCAGCATGTGAGGCTGCTAGAAGATCAAAGCAATG